AATCTCCCTCGACCTGGGGCTCCATGCAAGATCTCACCTCGTGGAGTTGCAATGATCATGAGAATGGTGAGGAATCAGCCCAGAACTACACGGGAGGATCTTGTCAATGATCTCAAGGCAGCTGGGACCATAGTCACCAAGAAAACAATTGGTAACACACTACGCCGTGAAGGACTGAAATCCTGCAGCGCCTGCAAGGTCCCCCTGCTCAAGAAAGCACATATACAGGCCCGTCTGAAGTTTGCCAATGAACATCTGAATGATTCAGAGGAGAACTGGGTGAAAGTGTTGTGGTCAGATGAGACCAAAATCGAGCTCTTTGGCATCAACTCAACTCGCCGTGTTTGGAGGAGGAGGAATGCTGCCTATGACCCCAAGAACACCATACCCACCATCAAACATGGAGGTGGAAACATTATGCTTTGGGGGGGGTTTTCTGCTAAGGGGACGGGACAACTTCACCGCATCAATGGGATGATGGACGGGGCCATGTACCGTCAAATCTTGGGTGAGAACCTCCTTCCCTCAGCCAGGGCATTGAAAATGGTCGTGGATGGGTATTCCAGCATGACAATGACCCAAAACACACGGCCAAGGCAACAAAGGAGTGGCTCAAGAAGAAGCACATTAAGGTCCTGGAGTGGCCTAGCCAGTCTCCAGACCTTAATCCCATAGAAAATCTGTGGAGGGAGCTGAAGGTTCGAGTTGCCAAACGTCAGCCTCGAAACCTTAATGACTTGGAGAAGATCTGCAAAGAGGAGTGGGACAAAATCCCTCCTGAGATGTGTGCAAACCTGGTGGCCAACTACAAGAAACGTCTGACCTCTGTGATTGCCAACAATGGTTTTGCCACCAAGTACTAAGTCATGTTTTGCAGAGGGGTCAAATACTTTTACCCTCATTAAAATGCAAATCAATTTATAACATTTTTGACATGCGTTTTTCTGGATTTTTGTTGTTGTTATTCTGTCTCTCAATGTTCAAATAAACCTACCATTAAAATTATAGACTGATCATGTCTTTGTCAGTGGGCAAACATACAAAATCAGCAGGGGATCAAATACTTTTTTCCCTCACTGTAGATACTTTTGTACCTGTTTCCTCCAGCATCTTCACAAGTTCCTTTGCTGTTGTTCTGGGATTGATTTGCACTTTTCGCACCAAAGTACGTTCATCTCTAGGAGACAGAACGCGTCTCCTTCCTGAGCGGTATGACGGCTGCGTGGTCCCATAGTGTTTATACTTGCGTATTATTGTTTGTACAGATGAACGTGGTATCTTCAGGCGTTTGGAAATTGCTCCCAAGGATGAACCAGACTTGTGGAGGTCTACCATTTTTTGTCTGAGGTCTTGGCTGATTTCTTTAGATTTTCCCATGATGTCAAGCAAAGAGGCACTGAGTTTGAAGGTAAGCCTTGAAACACACCTGACAGGTGTGACATATCAAGTTTGAAGGTAAGCCTTGAAACACACCTGACAGGTGTGACATATCAAGAAGCTGATTAAACAGCATGATAAAAGGCCACTCTAAAATGAGAATTTGGTAGTACGTCCAACCGGCCTCACAACCGCAGACCACGTGTAACCACTCCAGCCCAGGACCTCCACATCCGGCTTCTTCACCTGCGGGATCATCTGAGACCAGCCACCCAGACAGCTGATGAAACTGAGGAGTATTTCTGTCTGAAATAAAATCTATATTCTGATTGGCTGGGCCTGGCTCCCCAGTGGGTGGGCCTGGCTCCCAAGTGGGTGGGTCTATGCCCAGTTATGTGAAATCCATAGTTTAGGGCCTAATGAATTTATTTCAATTGACTGATTTTCTTATATGAACTGTAACTCAGTCAAATCGTTGAAATTGTTTCATGTTGCATTTATATTTTTGTTCAGTATAGATAGTTTATTTAGTAGAGCTCCTGTCATGATACTTTAAATCCCTCCTCCTTGATTTTCCACCATGTTTAATGGGTTGCGTCCCAAATGGCACCCTATTCCCTTTATAGTGCACTACTTTAGACCAGGGCCTCGTCAAAAGTAGTGCACTATATCAGAAATAGATGGGCCATTTGAGACACACATGGACCTACTCTGCCAGCGTCATAAAACAAGATTGGTCCGATTTAAACACATTGTATCTATCAGACTGAAAGCAAATATTTTTGGGAAGTCGGAAGGTTGAGCTAATTTATGGAGCAACTGGTAATCAGAAGCCGTTCAGTCTCTCTATGACTGTAGGGGTGCGTCCCATTTAATATCTCCTTTGTCCTGAAGTGTGCACTCGTTTACTACCTCCCATACATCTAAAAGCTTTGGATTGAGTTCCCACCATATTTCTTATGCCAGTCCTTTTCCTTGCAAACCAGGGAGGTTTGGAGAGATAATTGGGACATAGTGTAGTTGTATGTATCAGCCCTGAAACCTTGAGATAGGTACTGTACTGAGTTATTCCCTCTCTAGACCATCTGTATAGGCATCTGGAGGAGGTGTCTGAGTAGTCACTTTGCACACACACACCAAATACATAATACAAGTTGAAATTGAAACCCACTCTGGGAGCCTGTAGTCATTTGTGATTCCAGCTGCAGCCACATGAAGGGATGTATGATGATGAAGGAATTTATGATGATGATGATGATGAAGGGATGTATGATGATGATGATGAAGGGATGTATGAGGGATGAATGTATAAAATATAAGGGATGTATATGATGATGATGATGATGAAGGGATGTATGATGATGGGGGGAAAGTATGTATTTGATGATGAAGGGTGTATTGATGTGATGATGATGAAGGATGTATGATTGATTGAAGGATGTATGATGATGCTGTTTTGTGAAGGGATGTGTGTGATGATGAAGGGCTTTGATGTGATTGAAGGTGTTTGTGATGATTTGGGGGTTTATGTGATTGATGAGGGTTGTGTTTGATGATGGGTGTTTTGTGATGTGGGGTGTTGTTGATGATGATGTGAGGGTGTTGAGGTGGGGATGTTGTTCTGGCTGCTGCTGTGCCGGGCTGTCTGCTGCTGCCGGGCTGTCTGCTCCTGCTGCTGCCCGGCTGTCTGATGTGTGTCTGCTGCTGCCTTCTGCGGGACTGTCTGCTGCTGCTGCCGGGCTGTGTGATGCTCTGCTGCCGGGCTGTCTGCTTCTGCTGCTGCTGCCGGCTGTGTGCTGCTGCTGCGGGCTGTCTGCTCCTGCTGCGGGCTGTCTGATGCTGCTATGCTGCTGCCGGGCTGTCTGCTGCTGCCGGGGTCTGCTCCTGCTTCGCCGGGCTGTCTGCTGCCGCGCTGCTGCCCGGCTGTCTGCTGCTGGCCGGGCTGTCTGCTGATGTTGAAAGCAAAAACAGAAAGAAAGATTCCAGCAGTATTATTTAGTATTTATTGGGGTGATTTAAATATTGAATGAGTGTTGGTTTATCTCAAGGTTGTGGAACTGTAAATGTTATGAGGGCCTAATGATATACATTTGGACTGGATACCCACTGCTGAATGTTAGGGAGCTTTGCAATGAGCCAAATATATATTGAGCTATATATTAACGATGGTAGGTTAATCTTCACTCTTCAATGACACATTATTTAATGACAGTCACTCTCCTACCTACTGCCGTTGACAAACCACTAGGCAATTGTGTCCTCATTATTGAGTTAATGTTCTCCATTGATATACTGTTACAACGCCTTTGAGAAAATTAGTTATGTGTGTGTCGCACACACACACACACACATACACACACACACACAGTCTTGTATAACTGACCTTGTGGGGACACATCATTCAGTCCCATTCAAAATCCTATTTTCCCTAACGCTAACCCAAAAACCTAACCTTAAGCCTAACCCTAACCCTAGCTCCTAACCCTAAAACTAATCCTAGCTCCTAACCATGACCCCAAACCTAATTCTAACCCTAACACTAATTCTAACCTTAACCCTAAACCCCCTAGAAATAGCATTTGACCTTGTGGGGACTAACAAAATGTCCCCAGTTGGTCAAATTGTTGTTCGTTTACTATTCTTGTGAGGACTTCTGGTCCCCCACAAGTATAGTTAAACACGTCCACACACACACACACACACACACAGCTGATGGTGCACAATCAACTCATCCTAGCCTGAGGATATAGGAGCCATGTAAATGAGTCTGCGTGGTGGAACATTCATATGCTGCATCCCAAATGGCACCCTATTCCATATTTTGACCAGGGCCCATAGGGAAACCCATAGAGCTCTGGTCAAAAGTAGTGCACTTTATAGGGAATAGGGTACCATTATGGGATGCATGTGATAGAGCATGGCGCTTGCAACGCCAGGGTTGTGGGTTCGATTCCCATGGGGCACCAGTACGAAAAAGTATGAAAATGTATGCACTCACTACTGTAAGTGGCTCTGGATAGGAGCGTCTGCTAAATGACTAAAATGTAAATGTAATGTAAAAATGCAGCCATAGGCCACTGATCACGAGACCTCATCAGGAAACAACAGGCTGCTCGTTCACTGCTCTGTCTCACCGGGAAACGCGTCGCTACATTATCAAGACAAATAAAGAGCTAAAGCACCATCGAATCCAAACGCCTGTAGCTCTGTACTGTAACAATATTATGAAGAGGAAGAGAGCTCTGTAGCTCTGTACTGTTACAATATTATGAAGAGGAAGAGAGCTCTGTAGCTCTGTACTGTAACAATATTATGAAGAGGAAGCGAGCTCTGTAGCTCTGTACTGTAACAATATTATGAAGAGGAAGAGAGCTCTGTAGCTCTGTACTGTAACAATATTATGAAGAGGAAGAGAGCTCTGTAGCTCTGTACTGTAACAATATTATGAAGAGGAAGAGAGCTCTGTAGCTCTGTACTGTTACAATATTATGAAGAGGAAGAGAGCTCTGTAGCTCTGTACTGTAACAATATTATGAAGAGGAAGAGAGCTCTATAGCTCTGTACTGTAACAATATTATGAAGAGGAAGAGAACTCTGTACTGTTACAATATTATGACTTCAGCATGAAGACATGCCTGGCGGCGTTGAATCGCTGTACTATGGTAGGCATTTGGGCGGGTGGCAGCAGGGATGGAGCTGGAGAATCATTGTATCTTTCTTTTTCTTTTGTTTGATAAAAAACAATGCAATACACTTTATGCAATATTCATAAAGTGATGATCGTTTCATGACCACACACACACACACAGCAGTGCTGTTAATATTGGAGGGCTTCGGGGAAAAACACAGTACTATAAGCCTTATGGTGCTCTTTCATTGTTTCATTAGTCAAACACACACATCACACACATTTCACGCTGTCTAAACGTCAGTTTAATTTTCACATTTGCCAGTCTTCATAGGACATTAATTCATCAATCTGTATGCAGAACGGCCCCTTATTACTTCAATTCAACCTGTAATTATTCCTACCTGGCCTGCGTCCAAAATTCAACCCTATCCCCTTTTTTAGTGCACTACTTTTGGAAATAATTGCACTATGTAGGGAATAGGGTGCCATTTGGGATGCAGTCTTCTTGGAGTCGTATGGTTGGTGATTGGCTTCAGGCAGGTATCCTGCTGGAAGGCTTCTGCACATTAGCACACACAGAGAGCGTGAGAGGCCCATTGCCCTGATTACTCACATCTGGTCATTAAAGTTGTATGTGTTTTCTGCCAGAGAAGTGGTGCTGCAATCACAAGATGGACAGAGGAACAAGTGGCACCACCTGCATAGCAAACTACGATCTGATTGGTTCCTGGGTTAATTACTGAGCTCTGATTGGCTCTATAGGGGGTTCTTAACAGGACTTTGTTATAGGCTGCTGTACAGGTGTTGGATCTTAATTTGACCAGTATTGTCACAGCAAAATAATCCTGCAGCAACAGGATTTGAACACTCACACTTTTACACTGATGTAATGTTGCTTGATCGGTGGTTAAACTATTAGCTGGCCAAAATTAGGGCTACATGAAAAGGGCAGTACTGTTAATATAACCGTGTGGGTTTTCAGTGAATTCATGTAAATCACGAAGCTCATCTGCATTTCCTGCAGCGCAGGATATTTCTCAGCGACAACAGTGTGATCAAAGTAAGATCCTACATGTGTAGTGGACACACTGAGGCCAAACAGAGGACAGCAAAGGGAGAGTCAACATGAGTCCCATACGAACAGGCACTAATGATCTAATGATCCCTCATTCTCATAGGCCCTGTACACACTCAAGCTGTACAATAATAATAATAAGCCATTTAACAGACACTTTTATCCAAAGTGACTTACAGTCATGTGTACAGAGTAGTGTGTTACCAATTGTATTCTTGGTGACTATGGTCCCAGCTGCCTTGAGATCATTGACAAGATCCTCCCGTATAGTTCTGGGCTGATTCCTCACTGTTCTCATGATCATTGCAACTCCACGAGGTGAGATCTTGCATGGAGCCCCAGGCCGAGGGAGATTGACAGGTCTTTTGTGTTTCTTCCGTTTGCAAATAATCGCACCAACTGTTGGAATCTGATTGATTGATTGCTTCTGTGGACAGGTGTCTTTTATACAGGTAACAAGCTGAGATTATGAGCACTCCCTTTAAGAGTGTGCTCCTAATCTCAGCTCGTTACCTGTATAAAAGACACCTGGGAGCCAGAAATCTTTCTAATTGAGAGGTGGTCAAATACTTATTTCCCTCATTAAAATGCAAATCAATTTATAACATTTTTGACATGCGTTTTTCTGGATTTTTTTGTTGTTATTCTGTCTCTCACTGTTCAAATAAACCTACCATTAAAATTATAGACTGATCATTTCTTTGTCAGTGGGCAAACGTACAAAATCAGCAGGGGATCAAATACTTTTTTCCCTCACTGTATCATTGCGAAAGCAACATCTGCACTGAGGAAAAAACACACATTTACATTGTACTGTACAGGAGGTGTTAACCATAGAGTTGGAGTATATTAGACCCATTAGTACACCATAGGAAATAGTTCCATTGAATCTGCAGTGGTAAAATATTGGTCAACATTTTATTACTTAAAACAGTGATGTACTGTATCTACACTGAACAAAAATATAAATGCAACATGCAACAATTAAAAAAATTGTACTGAGTTACAGTTTATATAAGAAAATCAGTCAACTGAAATAAATTCATTAGGCCCTAATCTATGGATTTCACATGACTGGGAATACAGATCTGTTGGTCACAGATACCTTTAAAAAAAAGTAGGACTGTATCTGGTGTGACCACCATTTGCCTCATGCAGCGCAACACATCTCCTTCGCATAGAGTTGATCAGGCTGTTGATTGTGGCCAGTGGAATGTTGTCCCACTCCTCTTCAATGGCAGTGCAAAGTTGCTGGATAATAGCGGGAACTGGAACACGCTGTCGTACCAGTCGATCCAGAGCATCCCAAACATGCTCAATGGGTGACATGTCTGGTGAGAACTGGGCCATGGAAGAACTGGGACATTTTCAGCTTCCAGGAATTGTGTACAGATCCTTGCGGCATGGGGCCGTGCATTATCATGCTGAAACGAGGTGATGGCGGCGGATGAATGGCACGACAATGGGCCTCAGGATCTCGTCATGGTGTCTCTGTGCATTCAAGTTGCCATCGATAAAATCCAATTGTGTTCGTTGTCCATAGCTTATGCCTGCCCATACCATAACCCCACCGCCACCATGGGGGATTTTGTTCACAACGTTGACATCAGCAAACCGCTCGCCCACACGACACCATACACGCTGTCTGCCATCTTCCCGGTACAGTTGAATCTATGATTAATCCGTGAAGAGCACACTTCTCCAGCGTGCCAGTGGCCATCGAAGTTGAGCATTTGCCCACTGAAGTTGGTTACGACGCCAAACTGCAGTCAAGTCAAGATCCTGGTGAGGACGACGAGCACACAGATGGGCTTCCCTGAGACGGTTTCTGACAGTTTGTGGACAAATTCTTCGTTTGTGCAAACCCACAGTTTCATCAGCTGTCCGGGTGGCTGGTCTCAGATTATCCCACAGGTGAAGAAGCCTGATGTGGAGGTCCTGGGCTGGCGTGGTTACACGTGGTCTGAGGTTGTGAGGCCGGTTGGACGTAGAGACGGCTTATGGTACAGAAATTAATATTAAAATCTGTCAACAGCTCTGGTGGACAATCCTGCAGTCAGCATACCAATTGCACGCTCCCTCAAAACTTGAGACATCTGTGGCATTGTGTTGTGTGACAAAACTGCACATTTTAGAGTGGCCTTTTATTGTCCCCAGCACAAGGTGCACCTGTGTAATGATCATGCTGTTTAATCAGCTTCTTGATATGACACACCTGTCAAGTGGATGGATTATCTTGGCAAAGGAGGAATGCTCACTAACAGGGATGTAAACAAATGTGTGCACAACATTTGAGAGAAATACGTTTTTTGTGCGTATGGAAGATTTTGGGGATATTTTGTGTCAGCTCAATGAAACATGGGACCAACACTTTACATGTTGTGTTTATATATTTTTTGTTCAGTGTAGATCGGTGGTATAAATGTTATTATGTTTAGATCAGATGACCATGATTTGGTTAAGGGCGAGAAGGACAACTGCTTGGTTCATAGCTGCATGTATGTAACAAACACAGATGAAATGGAAAATAGCCATTTAAACAGGTATAGCAGCTCCTTCTGACACGACATTCAAAGGAAACTGCTCTTCGTTCTCTGTTGTCAAATCATTTTTATATCAGCACAGGGACACAGCACTTTATATCACTTTAGTGTTGTGGAAGAACCTATTTCTGGACAGATTATTCAAATCTCACCGTCTTCGTCCCAAATAGTCTTCGTCCCAAATAGCACCCTTTTCACAACGTAGTGCACAACTTTTGACCAAGAAACATAGGGCTCCGGTCAATAGTATTGCACTAGGGAATAGGGTGCTACTGGGCTCTGGTCAAAAGTAGTGCACTATGTAGGGAATAGGGTACCATTTGGGACACAGCCCCAGTGTGTGGAGGGAGGAAGGAGAGGCTGCCTTCTATTTCTACTGTTTCTCTCCTGGGGTTTAGACTGATCTGCTGCACTGGATACACATGTAGCATCACACACACACACACACACACACACACCAACCTGCTTCCTCTTTAAGGGGTTTGTGTAGTAATGGCTAATGGCAGTACATCTTAACAGTCTCAATGGTTGTAATGGCAGTACATCTTAACAGTCTCAATGGTTGTAATGGCAGTACATCTTAACAGTCTCAATGGTTGTAATGGCAGTACAGCTTAACAGTCTCAATGGTTGTAATGGCAGTACACCTTAACAGTCTCAATGGTTGTAATGGCAGTACAGCTTAACAGTCTCAATGGTTGTAATGGCAGTACATCTTAACAGTCTCAATGGTTGTAATGGCAGTACAGCTTAACAGTCTCAATGGTTGTAATGGCAGTACATCCTAACAGTTACAGTGGTTGTAATGGCAGTACATCTTAACAGTGTCAATGGTTGTACAGCCCATATGTGAACAGTCTCAATGGTTGTATATTTTTAGGGCCAATTATGCTGTTGGTTCATTCGCTGGTACCTGCCAATACCTCTAGCTAAGGACTGGTTCCCTCTTTTGACAGAGGATGAAGGAGAAACCATAATGCATTTCATTTTACCCTCATTTTCCATTGATGCCAGACTGACAGCGAACGACCCATTACTCTCCCTTATGTTGTGCTAGTTAAAAGGGCTGTGAAGATTCCAGACTTGCGTCCCAAATGGCTCCCTATTCCCTACATAGACCTGTGGGCCCTGGTCAAAAGTAGTGCGCTACGTACAGATGGAGGATCTTAATTTGACCAGTATTCTCACTGCAAAATAATCCTGCAGCAGCAGGATTTGAACGTTTAGTCCATGTTGCTTGATCGGTGGTTAGGCTAGTAGCTGGCCAAAAGTAGGCTACATGAAAAGTCAGTACTGTTAATATAACCGTGTGTTACTGTGGGTTTTCACTGAATATATACATGTACAGCACCAGTCAAAAGTTTGGACACACCTACTCATTCAAGGGTTTTTCTTTATTTTTACTATTTTTTGCATTATAGAATAATAGTGAAGACATCAAAACTATGAAATAACACATATGGAATCATGTAGTAACCAAAAAAGTGTTAAACAAATCAAAATATATTTTATATTTGAGATTCTTCAAATAGCCACCCTTTGCCTTGATGACAGCTTTGCACACTCTTGGCATTCTCTCAACCAGCTTCACCTGGAATGCTTTTCCAACAGTCTTGAAGGAGTTCTCACAAATGCTGAGCACTTGTTGGCTGCTTTTCCTTCACTCTGCCGTCCGACTCATCCCAAACCATCTCAATTGGGTTGAGGTCGGGGGATTGTGGATGCCAGGTCATTTGATGCAGCACTCCATCACTCTCCTTCTTGATGATAGTCCCACTAAGCCCAAACTAGATGGGATGGTGTATTGCTGCAGAATGCTGTGGTAGCCATGCTGGTTAAGTGTGCCTTGAATTCTAAATAAATCACAGACACATCAGCAAAGCACCCCCACACCATAACACCTCCTCCTCCATGCTTTACGGTGGGAACTACAAATGCGGAGATAATCCGTTCACCCACACCGCGTCTCACAAAGATACAGCGGTTTGAACCAAAAATCTCCAATTTGGACTCCAGACCAAAGGACAGATTTCCACCGGTCTAATGTCCATTGCTCGTGTTTCTTGGCCCAAGCAGGTCTCTTCTTCTAATTGGTGTCCTTTAGTAGTGGTTTCTTTGCAGCAATTCGACCATGAAGGCCTGATTCACACAGTCCCCTCTGAACAGTTGATGTTAAGATGTGTCTGTTACTTGAACTCTGTGAAGCATTTATTTGGGCTGCAATTTCTGAGGCTGGTAACTCTAATGAACTTATCCTCTGCAGCAGAGGTAACTCTGGGTCTTCCATTCCTGTGGCAGTCCTCATGAGAGCCAGTTTCATCATAGCACTTGATGGTTTTTGCGACTGCACTTGAAGAAACTTTCAAAGTTCTTGAAGTTTTCCGTATTGACTGACCTTCATGTCTTAAAGTAATGATGGACTGTCGTTTCTCTTTGCTTATTTGAGCTGTTCTTGCCATAATATGGACTTGGTCTTTTACCAAATAGGGCTATCTTCTGTATACCACCCCTACCTTGTCACAACACAACTGATTGGCTCAAACGCATTAAGAAGGAAAGAAATTCCACAAATTAACTTTTATCAAGGCACACCTGTTAATTGAAATGCATTCCAGGTGACTACCTCATGAAGCTGGTTGAGAGAATGCCAAGAGTGTGCAAAGCTGTCATCAAGGCAAAGGATGGCTGTTTGAAGGATCTCATATATAAAATATATTTTGTTTAACACTTTTTTGGTTACTACATGATTCCATATGTGTTATTTCATAGTTTTGATGTCTTCACTATTATTCTACATTATTCTACAAAAAAATAAAAATAAATAAAGAATAACCCTTGAATGAGTAGGTGTGTCCAAACTTTTGACTGGTAGTGTATGTAAATGACAATGCTTATCTGTGTTTCCTGCGGTGCAGGAACATTCTCAGCAATAAAAGAGTGATCAAATTAAGATCCTGCATCTGTAAGGAATAGGGTGCCATTTGGGACACATTCACGTGTTATCTTGGAACTCATCAGTTTAATGTCTCCTTATTATAGCATTTCTCTGCATGACCTACCTCTAACAGTCCCTCTCGCAAGTGTTTCAAGCTTTGCTGTTAGCTCCTCTGACAGCCTTCATCTGCGCTGCTTTCTAGGCGGTACTCTAGAACATCCTCTCAGCATCAGCTACTCTCTTAGCCTCCTTAGCTGGTCCTCTGACCCACTTCATGCATCCTTAGTGCCCCAGACATCACTCTAGAACCTTCTAAGCTCCTCTCAGTCCTGCTCATCGCCTCCTCTCAGCTCCTCTCAGTGCCTCTCAGCCTCCTCTCATCCAATCTAGCCTCCTTCTCTCCTAGCTCTCTCAGCTCCTCTCCCTTCACCTCCTCTCAGCACCCTCAGCTCCTCACATGCCCTCAGCTCCTCCATCCTCTCTCAGCACCTTTCAGACTCCTCTCAGCTCCCTCTCCAGTCGCTCTCAGCCCCTGCTCAGCTCCTCTCAGCCTCCTCTCAGCCTCCTCTCAGCCTCCTCTCAGTCGCCTCTCAGCCTCCTCTCAGTCTCTCAGCCTCCTCTCAGTCTCCTCTCAGCCTCCTCTCAGCCTCCTCTCAGTCGCCTCTCAGCCTCCTCTCAGCCTCCTCTGCCTCCTCTCAGCCTCCTCTCAGCCTCCTCTCAGTCGCCTCTCAGCCTCCTCTCAGCCTCCTCTCAGCCTCCTCTCAGCCTCCTCCAGCCTCCTCTCAGCCTCTCTCAGCACCTCTCAGCCTCCTCTCAGCCTCCTCTCAGCCTCCTCTCAGCCTCCTCTCAGTCACCTCTCAGCCTCCTCTCAGCCTCCTCTCAGCCTCCTCTCAGCCTCCTCCTCAGCCTCCTCTCAGCCTCCTCTCAGCCTCCTCTCAGCCTCCTCTCAGCCTCCTCTCAGCCTCCTCTCAGTCGCCTCTCAGCCTCCTCTCAGCCTCCCTCTCTCAGCCTCCTCTCAGCCTCCTCTCAGTCGCCTCTCAGCCCTCTCAGTCTTCATCACTCTCAGCCTCCTCCAGTCCCTCTCAGCCTCCTCTCAGCCTCTCAGCCTCTCAGCTCTCAGCCTCCTCTCAGTCACCTCTCAGCCTCCTCTCTCCCCTCTCAGCCTCCTCTCAGCCTCCTCTCAGTCACCTTTCAGCCTCCTCTCAGCCTCCTCTCAGTCTCCTCTCAGCCTCCTCTCAGCCTCCTCTCAGCCTCCTCTCAGCTCTCTCAGCCTCTCAGCCTCCTCTCAGCTCTCCCTCAGCCTCCTCTCAGTCCCTTAGCCTCCTCTCAGCTCCTCTCAGTCCCTCTCAGCCTCCTCTCCCCTCTAGCCTCCTCTCAGCCTCCTCTCAGCCTCCTCTCAGTCGCCTCTCAGCCTCTCACTCCTCTCAGCCTCCTCTCAGCCTCCTCTCAGCCTCCTCTCAGTCTCCTCTCAGCCTCCTCTCAGCCTCCTCTCAGCCTCCCTCTCTTAGTCGCGCCCTCTCAGCCTCCTCTCAGCTTCCTCTCAGCCTCCTCTCAGCCTCCTCTCAGCCTCCTCTCAGTCGCCTCTCTCCAAGTCTGCATAATTTTCATGCTTAAATGGATTTATTGTGAATACCGCAAATTCTTATGAGATTTCCCTTCCCTTGCCTTCCCTCTTTCTTTATCTTGCTCTCTCTTCTGGTCTTTCTTTCTTTCTCTCTCGCTCTCTCTCTCTCTCTCTCTGTCTGTCTCTCCTTTGTTTCTCTCAACCCTCTCTCTCTTTCTTTCTCCTCTCTCTCTTTCTCTCTCTCCCCCCTCTCTGATTCTCCTGCCCTCTCTCTCTCCCCCTATCCCTCTCCCTCCCCTCCCTCCCTCCCCTCCCTCCCTCCCTCCCTCTCTCTCTCCACAGATATCGGCTGCCTGTCGGTAGGAGTGGAGGGTCATGTATGATTGAAATAGCAGTAGATAATGGAACAGTGAAACATCAGGAGGAATCCTTGTTCCAGCCCGTGTCAGAGGTAAGCCCAGTTATCTGACTCAAGGACTGCATCCCAAATGGCACCCTTTTTCCTATATAGTGCCCCCTATGGACCCTGGTCAAAATGAGTGCACTATATAGGGAATAGAGTGCCATTTGGCGCCAGTTATCTCAGCCGAGTCCCCTGATATGTAGCCATACTTTGTCTAGGTTTGGCATTTGTACTGAGGGAATATTTCCTATGATCAATTCATGTATCGTGATTATACTGTATCACAAGCAGAGGACTCAATCAAACATGCATTGTAGTGTGTGTGTGTGTGTGTGTGTGTGTGTGTGTGTGTGTGTGTGTGTGTGTGTGTGTGTGTGACGAGTGCGCGTGTTCTTGCATGCACGACAGCAGTGATGTATACAGATATTGTAAATGAGTTAATACAGGGAAAGCATAACATGCGCCATACACTGATTATAATAAACATTAAGAACACCTTGACTTTCCATGACATAGACTGACCAGGTGAATCCAGGTGAAAGCTATGATCGCTTATTGATGTCACTTGTTAAATCAACATCAATCAGTGTAGATGAAAGAGAGGAGACAGGTTAAAGAAGGATTTTTAAGCCTTGAGACATGGATTGTGAATGTGTGCCATTCAGAGGGTATATAGCCTCTGTATTGTTATTTAGTGTTACTTTTTATTACATTTTTTACTTTAGTTTATTTAGTAAATATTTTCTTAACTTTATTTCTTGAACTGCATTGTTGGTTAAGGGCTTGTAAGTAAGCATTTCACGGTAAGGTCTACACCTGTTGTATTCGGCACATGTGACAAATACAATTAGATTTTATTTTATTTGAATGCATGAGCCAAAATATTGAAGTGCCTTTGAACGGGGTATGGCCAGGCGCACCGGTTTCTGTCAAGAACAGCAACACTGCTGGCTTTTTCACGCAACACAGTTTACCATGTGTATCAAGAATGTTTTGGGGGGACAACTCAATATTAGGAAGATGTTCTTAATGTTTTGTACACTCAGTGTCTATCGAACTGTGTGTATGGTTATATCTCACTTGTTAAAGATGCACTATGCAGAAAGTGCTCCGCCATTTCCTGGTTGCTAAAATTAGAATAGTTAGCCTAATTACAGTTTATGTGACAAAACAAGCAAGCATAGTGTAGAGAATCATTGTACCATCTAAACCGCTGTGAAATATCTTTTTCATAACCAAACATATTGTATTTTCAGCTGTTTGAAGCTGGTTTACAAAACCGCAAAAACGAAACTTAAGACCGGGAAGCATAGAAATAGCACACATAGAACAGATCTACCGCTTCTTAGACTTGCTTTCAATGAGAATGACAGATCTATAACATATATTTCTATGTGAATTTGTCCGGGTCGCCCAGAAAAGTTACATATTGCAGCTTTAAATTGACTGTTAAGGGTTATAAGTTGTCGGTTCACTGGATTCCCAACCAGAAAACACCTGATTTGCATTCTAAATGGCACCCAATTCCCTATATAATGTACTACTTCCCATAGGGCTCTAGTCAAAAGTAGTGCCCTAAAAGTAGTGCACTATGTAGGAAATAGGGTTCTACTTGGGATGTAGGCATACTTTACCTTACCTGAAGATTTTGTATTGTTGATTACCATTGCAGGTCTTGTCTACACCGAGTATACCAAACATCAGGAACACCTTCCTAATATTGAGTTGCAACACCCCCTTATGCCCTCAGAACAGCCTCAATTCGTCGGAGGCATGGACTCTACAAGGTGTCAAAAGCATTCCACAGGGATGCTGGCCAATGTTGAATCCAATGCTGGCACCTACTACCATACTTTCCCATTCCACCCTCTGAATGGCACACATACACATGTCCATGTCTCATTTGTCTCTAGGCTTAAAAATCCTCCTTTAACCTGTCTCCTCCCCTTCATCTACACTGATTTGAAGTGGATTTAACAAGTGACATAAATAAGGGATCATAGCTTTCACCTAGATTCACCTGGTCAGTCTATGTTTTGTATAGTCAGTGTATATCATAACTGATTAAAGAAAACTAAATATCTGTAGTCATTTAGATAGAACTGTGATGTAATGAACTATACAGTGAAGCACATGGACTGTGTAGAGAAGACTAAACAAGCATTGCTGATAACTAGTGTGTGTGTGTGTGTGTGTGTGTGTGTGTGTGTGTGTGTGTGTGTGTGTGTGTGTGTGTGTGTGTGTGTGTGTGTGTGCGGCGCGCGTACGCACACCTGTCCCCCTTCTTGCCTACCTACCTGCCTTTGAAGTTGTGCATACATTTGTCTATGTGACATCCTTCCAGGTAGCGTTGGGGCCTATTTTCCTGGGGGACGTCCCCTCCCATAGGGATCAGCCTGCCAGCACCAGGGAGGTGACGGGGTTTGTAGGCTGTATCAGGGAGCTGCAGGTCAACAATAAGGACATCTACATAGCAGGAGAGGCAATGGGCGGGAGGAACATCCAAAACTGTGACACACCTGTCTGTCAGCACCTGCCCTGCCGCAACGGAGGCACCTGTGTCAGGTAGGATATGACCATGTGGATATTTCATTAGTCTTTAATACAATATTAGTGTTATTGAAATACTGTCTTTGAGAGCTAAAGGGAAAATACTGAATTATCCAGCTCTTTACAATGTGACCTAATGGTGTTAAAATACTTTAACTTTCCTACATTGATTAGTAGTAATGGACTCTTAATGAAGGTCAGGTACATCAAGGCTAATGACAATGTGAGAGGCTAGAGGGCCGGCCATATCACAGGGTATTGATTCATACCATTCATACTATCAGGCATGTTTCAGTCCACTATGGTAAGAGTCTTTGACCAGGAGCCTGGTAATTCAGTAAATAGCTAAAGGTTACATTGACTCTCTACCCTTTACACGCTGACAACGTTAATCCATTTTAAAAAAATATATTTTTGCTAATTGCACACTTCACACAAATGATAAAAGAAGGTTAATAATATTTTTGTGGTCAGATCATCAAGGCTGCCAAACGCAACGCACTACCGTCAGCGTTGTTTAATTATGAGTGTGAATTATATTCCATCACGGTGCCAAACCCTCTTGAACCCCATAGCTGGTATAGGGTTATAGAGAGTTCACAGAGCAATCTTCATTCAGTCAATTGACCTGGGTGGCTCTGGCATAATACTAGATGGTTAAAGGATTGGCTGTGGGCATAATGGCTGGTGATTTGATTGCTTTCTGTCTTAATGTAATCGTTCTGTCTTCTACAGCCTGTCTACATTTGCATATTACTGAGATCTATTGATAGAATTGTGTTTTTTATCATAAATGTCTAAGGCTCAGCGTCTTTGTGATTCTACTTGTAATGAAAAGTGCTATATAAAACAAATATATATTATTATTTATTATTATGAAAACATACAATCTACCTGCAGTGAATTATAATAATAATAATAATAATTATTATTATTATTATTAAGACTGAACATTGCACATTGTCTGTAGTTTATAAAATAAACAACTCAAGGTCCTAGGAATAATCATTAGGCCTAATTCTCAATGAGGAACAAACAAACACTGTCTTGGTTCCCAAATGGCACCCTATACCCTACAAATGATACCCTATGCCTACAGGTCCAAAGTAGTGCACTATAAAGGGAATAGGGTGCCATTTGGAACTTAGACCTATAATCAGATAATGCTGCAGCCTATAGTGATGATGTACAACGGTCCCCTAAGGATTCTTCCAAAGAAAATGACTCATTAAAGAGTTGGAGGACATATATGTTCAAAAGAATTGTACGATTGAATTATAGATAGATTGGCTACTGTTTGGGTATGTTCATTCTGTTCGTTGTGTTTTGAAATGTCCTACATTCAAGGCATCCGCATAACAGATAAGGGACTTCGAATACATCCTTGAGGTACGCCAGTCAAGAGGGAACAGTTAGATGAGACAGAGACAATATCTTCATGTGAGATGGAGCAGCAGAACTTAGTTTATCAGAGACAAACGTCCAATAAACTAATCTGAGTCAAGGGAAAGCGTCCCCTCTGGTTTTGTTAGTTTAATGTAGTAAAATGTTATATATGAAAACCAAGCTATACTGTATACTACATTTGTTATATCCATTTTTCTTCTAAAGCTATTTTGATGAGTAAAACCAAGAGTAGGACAACTCTAGTTGTCTCCATTATTTTAACTAAGCATGCTATTAGCATGTACACGTTACCCTTTTTGAAAACACTTCATATTAAGGGTTACAGTGCATTCGGAAAGTATTCAGACTCCTTGACCTTTTCCACATTTTGTTACGTTACAGCCTTATTCTAAAATTGATCAAATTGATTTTTTTCCTCATCAATCTACACACAATACTCCATAATGACAAAGAAAAAACTGAAATCACATTTTCATAAGTATTCTGAAATGCTTACTTACAGCCCTTAACCAACAGTGCATTTATTTTAAACAAAAAAAGTAAGAATAAAACAACAACAAAAAAAAGTGTTGAGAAAAAAAGAGCAGAAGTAAAATAAAGTGACAGTAGGGAGGCTATATATACAGGGGGGTACCGTTGCAGAGTCAATGTGCGGGGGCACCGGCTAGTTGAGGTAGTTGAGGTAATATGTACATGTGGGTAGAGTTAAAGTGACTATGCATAAATACTTAACAGAGTAGCAGCAGCGTAAAAAGGATGGGGTGGGGGGGCAGTGCAAATAGTCCGGGTAGCCATGATTAGCTGTTCAGGAGTCTTATGGCTTGGGGGTAGAAGCTGTTGAGAAGTCTTTTGGACCTAGACTTGGCACTCCGGTACCGCTTGCCGTGCGGTAGCAGAGAGAACAGTCTATGACTAGGGTGGCTGGAGTCTTTGACAATTTTGAGGGCCTTCCTCTGACACCGCCTGGTATAGAGGTCCTGGATGGCAGGAAGCTTTGCCCCAGTGATGTACTGGGCCGTACGCACTACCCTCTGTAGTGCCTTGCGGTCAGAGGCCAAGCAGTTGCCATACCAGGCGGTGATGCAACCAGTCAGGATGCTCTCGATGGTGCAGCTGTAGAATTTTTTGAGGATCTGAGGACCCATGCCAAATCTTTTTAGTCTCCTGAGGGGGAATAGGCTTTGTCGTGCCCTCTTCACGACTGTCTTGGTGTGTTTGGACCATGATAGTTCGTTGGTGATGTGGACACCAAGGAACTTGAAGCTCTCAACCTGTTCCACAACAGCCCTGTCGATGAGAATGGGGGCGTGCTCAGTCCTCTTTTTTTTCCTGTAGTCCACAATCATCTCCTTTGTCTTGGTCACGTTGAGGGAGAGGTTGTTGTCCTGGCACCACACGGCCAGATCTCTGACCTCCTCCCTATAGGCTGTCTCATCGTTGTCGGTGATCAGGCCTACCACTGTTGTGTCGTCGGCAAACTTAATGATGGTGTTGGAGTCGTGCCTGGCCATGCAGTCATGGGTGAACAGAGAGTACAGGAGGGGAATGAGCACGCACCCCTGAGGGGCCCCCGTGTTGAGGATCAGTGTGGCAGATGTGTTGTTACCTACCCTTACCACCTGGGGGCGGCCCGTCAGGAAGTCCAGGATCCAGTTGCAGAGGGAGGTGTTTAGTCCCAGGATCCTTAACTTAGTGATGAGCTTAGAGGGCACTATGGTGTTGAATGCTGAGCTGTAGTCAATGAATAGCATTCTCACGTAGGTGTTCCTCTTGTCCAGGTGGGAAAGGGCAGTGTGGAGTGCGATAGAGATTGCATCATCTGTGGATCTGTTGGGGCGGTATGCAAATTGGAGTGGGTCTAGGGTTTCTGGGATTATGCTGTTGATGTGAGCCATGACCAGTCTTTCAAAGCACTTCATGGCTACAGACGTCAGTGCTACGGGTCGGTAGTCATTTAGGCAGGTTATCTTAGAGTTCTTGGGCACGGGGACTATTACTCAGTACTTTGTTGAAGCATCTTTGGCAGCGATTACAGGCTTGAGTCTTCTTGGTTATGACGGTACAAGCTTGGCACACCTGTATTTGGGGAGTTTCTCCCATTCTTCTCTGCAGATCCTCTCAAGCTCTGTCAGGTTGAATGGGGAGGGTCGCTGCACAGCTATTTTCAGGTCTCTCCAGAGATGTTCGATTGGGTTCAAATCCGGGCTCTGGCTGGGCAGCTCAAGGACATTCAGAGACTTGTCCCGAAGCCACATCTGCGTTGTCTTGGCTGTGTGCTTAGGGTCATTGTCCTGTTGGAAGGTGAACCTTCGCCCCAGTCTGAGGTCCTGAGTGCTCATCAAGGAACTCTGTACTTTGCTCCGTTCATCTTTCCCTCAATCCTGACTAGTCTCCCAGTCCCTGCCGCTGAAATACATCCCCACAGCATGATGCTGCCACCACCATGCTTCACCGTAGGGATGGTGCCAGGTTTCCTCCAGACGTGACGCTTGGCATTCAGGCCAAAGAGTTCAATCTTGGTTTCATCAGACCAGAGAATCTTGTTTCTCCTGGTCTGAGAGTCCTTTAGGTGCCTTTTGACAAACTCCAAGCGGGCTGTCATGTGCCTTTTACTGAGGAGTGGCTTCCATCTGGCCACTCTACCATAAAGGCCTGATTGGTGGAGTGCTGCAGAGATGGTTGTCCTTCTGGAAGGTTCTCCCATCTCCACAGATAAACTCTGGAGCTCTGTCAGCGTAACCATTGGGTTCTCCCTGGCCAATGCCCTTCTCCCCCGATTGCTCCGTAGGAAGAGTCTTGTTGGTTCCAAACTTCTTCCATGTAAGAATGATGGAGGCCACTGTGTTCTTGGGGACCTTCAACGCTGCAGAAATGTTTTGGTACCCTTCCCCAGATCTGTGCATCGACACAATCCTGTCTTGGAGCTCTACAGACAATTCCTTCGACCTCATGGCTTGGTCTTTGCTCTGACATGCACTGTCAACTGTGGGACCTTATATAGACAGGTGTGTGCCTTTCCAAATCATGTCCAATCAATTGAATTTACCACAGGTGGACTCCAATCAAGTTGTAGAAACATCTCAAGGATGATCAATGGAACAAGATGCACCTGAGCTCAATTTTGAGTCTCATAGCAATGGGTCTAAATACTTATGTAAATAAGGTATTTGCTAAAACCTGTTTTCGCTTTGTCATTATGGGGTATTCTGTGTAGATTAATGAGGATTTTTTTGGGAATAAGGCTGTAACAAAATGTGGAAAAAGGGAAGGGGTCTGAATGCACTGTATATAAATATATAATTATGTTGTTAATGGTTATGAACCCTTTTTAAGCCCGTTATAAAGGGAACCTTATTGTAAAGTGTTACCTTCTTTAATAAACCAGCAGATTAAGTCTTGTTAAAACTCTGCTTTGATGGTGCCTGGCTTGCTGTCTGGCTGGTGCCTGGCTGGCTGGCTGGCTGGCTGGTGCCTGGCTGGCTGGCTGGCTGGCTGTTCGGGTGGTTATGTTGGTGACTGCTGTGGCTGGCTGATGGCTGGTGCCTGGCTGGCTGGTGGCTGGTGGTGGCCTGGCTGGCGGTGTGGCTGGCTGGCTGGTGGCTGGCTAACTGG